AATGAGGCTTTTGTACGTTGGTCATTTACGCATCCCATTTTATCATACAATTACATTGATTTTAGTTCTAAAAGTATCACTGTATGAACAAACACATTGTGTTGTTCAATATATGACTTAGATTTGGTGAATGGATTTGTTTATTGTTTGACATAAATCGAGTTTTCCAAATGGTATGTTCAAATCATTTTACACTGTGTGGAATGGTATTACAATAATCACAGTGTAGTTGCTTCGCACAACGTTTCAGCTGCCCGTATCAAAATCCGTAACGCAACGATGGAGCAAATGTGGACTCAATACGTTTGTGTTATCGACTGCAATACCGAAAGTACGTAAAGTTGACACTTTTGTGCGTAGTTGTTTCCGCATCTATTTTTGTCCTTCAAATGTATATCAATTTCCCCTAAATGTTAAATTTAAGTGACCTACATAATGTTTAGTGTATATCGTGCTAATTTTGATGAAAGGAACCAGGCTAATTAGTCAACTAATTTGATTATGAGTGAGTGGCCTGCAAATCGTACTCATAAACAGCACAATGAGCCTTCAATATTCATCCATGGCGCGTGGACTGCTGAACATCATGTCTCAAGATCAAGAAAGCGCCAAAAAACGTGTTTACTTTAGACTCAAAGACGACTTAGTCTTAGTGCGTTCTTCCCTGGCAAGAAATCCATGGGAGAATCCTCCCAATTGGGAGGCTGTTCGCCTCGACGTGTGTAAAAGTCTTCACGTTGATAGTTTACGAACTATTCGTGAGAGGATGGAACTCCTCATCAAATCGTTCAAGAGGGAGGACAGATTGCGGAAATCCAAGTAAGACGAAACGTTTTATGATCTTATCTCCCGGATTTAATCTTTAAAGTTTCAATATTCTCGTAGGTCATTTAGGTAGTTCTCCTTAATAAGTACATGTAATTATATCAATTATATCAATATCAAGTTAGCAATTGTATGATTGGCCATACACGTCTTCTTATCAGACAAGGCAATCACTGAATACCTAACGATAATAAATGCCATCATCTGTGTATATCAAAAACCCATGCACAATTAGCATGTTACACCTAAGCTGTCTTTGGCAGGGCCGTCAGAAGGGGGGGGGGGGGGGTTCTATGGATGCGACCGCATACCCCCTAGACAACATCTTATTCAGTCTTAATTTTTTTTGAAATTTGGAATGAAAATTCTCATTCAGTCTATTGGATATAGACTAGCACCCCCCCCCCCGATAAAGAAATTGTAAAATTTTCTAGAGGGAGTGGGCCACCCTCACACCCCCACAAAACAATTGAAGTTATTTTATACATTGTCTCAGACACTTTTAAGGTGCCCAGACATCATCAAATAGCTCCTTACTATAGTCAGCATTTAACACTTGCTTCCTCTCTAGCACCCCCACCTCACCTCCACCTCTTAGTATGTATCTAACAGACTGACTATAGAAGTCAGTCTGTTATGATGTACTACTGTCCTGTGGAAATTGCAGTGAAATTTTCTGCAAAAAATTATCAATTTGAGGAAGCATTAGTTAAAAAAAACAACATTTTATCACTTCAATTAAGAAGTAAGGTACAATTAATTAAATGCAATAATAACACAACATATTAGGTGGAAATAAAGCTAGTTGAAGTAACAAATATGCAAATTAATTCAATCCCGCCATTTTGAATAGCCATTTTGAATATCACTTCCTATGTAAACAAATATTTTTTGTTAACAAATTTTAACATACTATATGTATAGTCTGAATATTATTCAGACTAAATAGGATATAGTCTACCCCCCCCTGGTTCCCTAATTTACACCCCCCCCCCATAAAAAAAGTCAATGTGTCTTATTGAATCATACACTTTGAAAGTTCCAAGAAAGCACAAGATAGCATTTTAAAATTGTAACTTTTTCTAGGGGGACCAATATACAAAACAATTGAAAATTTTGAATTTATTTTATGTTTTTTTCTCAGATACGTTTAAAGTTCACAGACACCATTTAATAGCACCTTGATATGGTCAATGTTTCTTGGAGACAACCCCTAGCTCCCATCTGGCACCCCACCTCACTCTCTGGCATCCCGCAATAAAAGATCATTTTATTGACTCATACACTTTGACAGTGCTCAGAAAGCACCAAATAGCATCTCAAAAGTGTACAATTTTCTAGGGGGAGCGGGCCACTAATCACGTCCCCATAAAGCAATTTAAAAGCTTGGAAGTTGCATTTGTTCAATGCCCAGAATTAACATCAATAGCACCTTGTTATGGTCAATATTTATTGGGGACAAACAATAAAGTGCCCAGAAAGCACCAAATAGCATATTCGAACATGACTGTATTCACACCTTTTATGACGTCAACATTTCACCCGGGGTATATTCGCCAACAGTACCCCTGTTAATACGAGTAATGTGTGACCTCATAACGGCGGGCCGTAGTAATGGCGGAAATTTCAATGAATATTTGAAAAATGTTGGTGAATTTTCATGGTCGAAGTAATAAAGACCTCAGAGCAGGTGTTGTTATATCGACGAATATACCCCGCAGGGCTAGGCACAAACGTTTTCTATACCCTGAACGACCGAAGGGAGTGAGGGGTTTGAAAGCTTTTGTGCCTAGCCCTAAGGGGTACATTCGAAGATATTTCTTAAATATCGAATATATCAAAAATATCGAAATTGCTTAGAACCTGGATAAACCTCACCCTGATGATTGAAAACTACTTGTCTAATTTCAATCGTGTTGGAATTGTAAACCTTATTCAATTACCTCTCCAAAAAGTAGGTCAACAAAATCGAGAACAACTTGACTTAAGGGTATTTTTGACATTCTGTTTTGATGCTTTTTCTATGAAAGGAAAATTGTTTGGTGCCAAAATGCTATAATTCTTAAAATAATAGTCCATTATTGTTAAAATAAATCAAAAAATCAACGTCTGTCAAGCTTTTGTATAACTCAGCTATGCACTTTCAATTGAAATTCAATTGAACGCAATTGTATTGTCAGCAATTTTCCATTCATATTTGCAAAATAGTATTACAAATGCCACTCGGTGTTTCAGTTCGGCAGTAGACTAATACTTAACTTGGTAGATTCCGAATATTTTTGGTCCATGACTTAGCCAACCAACCACCAAGTAACGGCATATAAATCGAATTGGTGAAGTTGAAAAATTGGGGGAGGGAAAAAAGATCTGAAATTATGATCAGATAAATGGTTGCACAAATGTTCAGGAACGTGCAAAAATAATAGCTATATTCATCAAGCAGTTTTTTGAAAAACCGTTATCTCTCAAATTCGGGAAAAACGAACTCGCGAGTTCATGCTTTAAATAGTAAATAGTGGCTTGATCGGGGGTTTGATTTTCATGAAATAAGCATGTGGGAAAGGAAATTCAATATGCTGAATGACTGTCTATCAGACACGCCAATAATAATGATCACTTTGCTTTTTCCACAGTATTAGGACAAGGCAACTATATCGACTTTCTGTTCATTGGCATCAAATTCCGATTATCATAAATATGATCTTCCTCAATCAAACTGATTTCTACGCTAAAATGTGTCATTTATGTGCGGCTCAAGCTAAAAATGAGGGATTCACAAAATAACGTGCATAAAAGAACTCATTAAAACAGAGGAGTCAATTTGACCACCGTTCTCCATTTGCAGACATTAGGGTCAATCATGTATTTTCATAAATGCGCCTGAAAATTTATATCGTCTTAAACTTAACGCTTTTAGATCTGGTACTGAAGAGGAATATGACGAGATGTCACAAATGTTGACTGAAGTGATTTCCCTAAAAGAAGATGTGGAAATGGAAAGAATAAAAACAAAAAAGAAGAAGGAAGAAGATCAAGAAAAAGATCAAAAGAAAGTGACTGAAATTCTAGAGAAGTCGATGAACACCCTTGGTAAACAAACGAAATCGCCTCAATCAAGCCCTTCTAAGAAACGACTCTGCAAAAGAGGTAAGACCCAAACAGAATGACAGAATTATTTAAAAATCTATACAATCTGGGTATTTATTGTTCTGCATTTAATTAAATTAATATGATATACGAACAACACATGCCGGTGTAAAAGGGTAGGAGGTCCTATCAAATTATGATCCTACTCTCCATTGATTTATATGGTGACCTAATTACAACTCTTTCCTTTATTATCTTGTACACAATCAGGGCCAGTAAGGGCCGTTAGGAAAGGGGACCATAATCCCTGGGGGACCATAATTTCTTTCACAATCATGAAACACTATTCATCCTTTACAATTCAAAAGAAGTGTTTCAATGATTTTTTATCCAAATCTAATCACATAGGATAACATGCATACGTTTCTGTTTTATGTGTTGTAGGTAACTTCTTAGAGGAATACCTCACCAGAAAAATTGAACTTGAGGAGAGGAAATTTGCACTGGAAGAGAGAAAATGGAACGCAATGAATCCCAAGAAAGACTGATGATGTGGGCATACTGACATTAAAACGTCCGTGTCTGTAATTTTAATCCTAAATAGCCACATTTCAGTACTTACTTTAGTTCAAACATTTTTTCTCGATTGATTATTTCGGCAGCACTTGTGACAAGTAAAAAATCTTGTGCATACGGATTTGATGTTTACTTTAAAATTAATAGCACTTGTTGTCTAATTCAACAAGCCTTACAGATCAATATTATCAGTAAAATATTCTGGAATGGAAAATTAGGATTAGACGTACATACTCATAGATGGAGACTTTAACATCAGTTTGATGTGTACTGTTTTAGTTACTTCTTTTTATTTGTTTTATTTGTCCTCGTGGCAAGTTAAATTCATATTTTATTATTATGAACGCAAAAAGATGAAGGTACAAAATGTTACTTTTAAAAAGACTCATTCCTTTAAACGCACTGATCACCAATCATCTCAATCATTTAAATTAGCTAACTGCTAATGCTCCTCTTGTTCTAAATTTTGTTACGTATAAAAATGCTGTTTACTTGCATATAACATTTATTTTAATTATACATATACATATACATTATACATGTAGCACGGGTTGTGATCGAAAGATTTGTCCGCTATGTTGTGTCATGTTATTTTTCATAAAAACACTAAGAAAACGTCACAATTTTTTGAGTCATATGCTTCGTTATACCAAAGAACCTCAACTTACCCTGTGCAATGGGTACACCATTTGCAAGTAACCTTTTCTTTTGTTTGAACTACAATAACGCTAGGAGCAAAATCTATTGAAAACAGCTCTAGAGTATCATACTCTAAAATGTACCAATTATTTTCTAAATTTTCAATTGCACTGAACACAGTGACATGATAATATCGCATATGTTTTAACTTAACTATGGGGGTATTAAGAGATCTAGTATAGATGAATTTTAGTATTTTTAATTTGTTCTATTGAAAAATGATGTCTAGATTTTTGTCCTCTATGGAGGACTAGTTGCAAATGTGAGATGCATCAAAGTTCCCAATATATTACTTTTACAGCTACACTTTAGGAACGATTTGATTTTGGGAGGGAGGTTTGATACGTTTTCTCTAAAGTGTAGTTCAAAAGATATATTATGAATCTTAATGTACTTCACATTTGAAACTGTTCTTCCATAGCGGTCAATAATTTAACATTATTTTTTATTAAAATAAATAAAAACGACCCATTACATCCAGATCTCATTAATACCTTCAGGGTTATGCTGAAGATATGGAAATATTATCGTATCACTATATCATGCCATTAATAAGAAAGGATACATTTAGAGTTTGATTTTGTCGTTTCCAATAGCTTTTACTAGCGTCATTGGACGTCAAACAGAAGTTAAGGTTACCCGCTACTGATTAATCTCATTGCACGGAGTAGGTGAATTTCTTTGGTATAATGAAACATGTGAGTTAAATATAAATTGTGAAGTTTTCTTGGTGTGTTTTAGAAAAATAGCATGCTCCACCACAGCGGACAGATTTTTCGATTCCAATCAGCGATATGGTGTTTTTGCAATAATAAAGTTGTTTAATTATCAATTGTTTTAACAGTTGACAGTTTTCTATGATTGTTCATGTTTAGTCTCAAAATGTTTGGTTTGTTACACAATCATGTTCATCTATGAATGTAGTATTCAAGTAACAGAGGTTCAGTGTTAAAGTAAGTATTCACTTGACTACCATAAAGGCATGTATGCACATTGGTTAAAAAAGCTCCATTTTTGTAATACTTAGCTATTGGAGATAAAAGTATTTTGAGATTCTTTTTAAAGTCCAAAAAAGCAAATTCCCTGATGATTTTTCCGAAACCCCATTCAACGCATTCCCTCACAGAACTCATACTTCTACTGAATTGGGCCTGTTGAGGGGTCACATCGGGTCCTCTAAATGGGGTAATAAGATGGGGAGTTCGGGGGTACGCGGGGTCTCCATAAATCGACATGGGTTCCCCGTTAGGCAGGCTTTTTGTTTCAAGTGCATCCAGGATATTACTGCGACGCAGCATTGAGGCATCGTGCCGGGACCCCTCAACAGGCCCATACAAATTTGTAATAATGCCATTGGGTAATATGATAGACTGAAATTTAAGACAGTGTTCCCTTTTATGCCCACTGTAGAAATGACGCTGCCCTTCCTGTGGACGAGCACATGGTCTTGGAGTCCCATCAATAAAACCGTAACAGTTTATAAGAGGGGCATCTTTAGCCTGAATCGCGCGAGCATATCGTTGTAAATCTGGAATGGTCATCCATGGCTGGTTAAACTCTGTTAAAAGAGGTCCAAAATGTTCATACACGTAGTTGTTCACTGTGTTTATCAAAATCGAAGTTGTCGACAGATCCATACCAAACATCCCATTGATGTCCCACAGTCGATTTGGGTACACAAGACGGCGAAGTAAAAGGCACAAGCCCTCGATGCCACTACACGAACATCGGTTATAACCAGTGAATACGTTTGGTAACTCCATGACCTGAGATATCCTGAATAGATCATCTTTTTCAAATCGAAACAAGAGACTGCACTCTTCATTTGATAGACTTTCCAGATTTATTCTGAATGCGTTAATACCATCACGCCTATCTTCCTCAAATAAGTGATATAGGAGGAGTGTTTCCTCGTCATCCTTGTCATCAATAATAGCGGCCGCGGTGACCGGGTCAATGCCTGCCATATGTACAGTTGTCGAAGATCACACTACTAGAATGAAATAAAATAGTGAATTAGGCTAACTACTATTACCCCATGGTTACAATGATATAGATCGAATATTACTTGAAAATATAATTGATATTTGGATCAGGATATCATATTTTAGCAAAGAATTCCCAAACAATCGAATATCACTCCTTAAAAAGAGGCAAAGCTGGTTGAATGGGGTATGCTATTTAGGATTGGTACTGAATGGGGATGGGACTGCTGTCAACGTATCTATAGTTCGTCAGTATAAATACCTCGAAGTTATATTGTATACCATAGAAAATATAGTCTGGTAACATGCATCCTTGGACTATATATCCCGGTGTAAAAGGGTAGGAGGTCCTATCAAATTATGGTCCTACTCTCCATTGATTTATATAATGACCTAATCACAACTCTTTCCCTTATTATTTTATACACAATCAGGGCCAGTAAGGGCCGTTTGGAAAGGGGACCATAATCCCCAGGGGACCATAATTTCTTTCACACCGGGACTATATATTCAGGGAGATTATAGTATATTCACTCTTGACACCGGAAATGATCCAGAGTTTTTTCTTCCAATGTTATCCCATGTTTAGAGACAGAATGTACTATTATTCTATGTTCACGAAATGATATGAGGGGCAAAATAACATAAATCGATATTGCCAAATTACACGACATGAGTGAACAAAATCTTACCTTTTTGAGAAGATATAACTGTTGTGTTACTTCCACAGGAAATGAATGTTATTGTCAAGGTCACGGCTTGAGATACGTTTTGTGGATTACGTGCTAAAAAAACGTACTGCGAAACGAAAATTTTCGAATAACGTATCCGTAAACGTAACGAGATACGGATGCGGATACGTTTTAGCAAACCCGTTGTGCGAAACCTCTCTAATCTTCCAACACGTACGTAATCTCGCCGGTACCAAATTCAGCATTGACGAACAATATCCCCCAGAAATCCAACAAAGAAGGAAACTCCTCGTCCCCACAATGAAAGAATTCAAGAGACAAGGTGCTAGGGCAGTATTGAGGTATGACAAACTGTATGTTAACGGACAGCTACATATCCCAAGGTAAACTAGCAATGTTTATTGTTAGCCAAAAACTGATAAGCAGAATCTAAATTACTTTCATCTAAAGCTTTTTGCAAGGCCTGAGTGCGCCGCTAACATGCTAAATAGAAGAGTTAGCTGACGTTTGGGAGTCTGACTTACCTTCTAAAGGTTAGAACCCGAATCTTAATGAAACCATATCACCTTTGTTCCGTCAACCATGGAGCATTTGCCACAACATCCAAGAGGTAAATCATGGATCGAGAAAATGAATGATTTCCTTGTAAGTTCCGGAAGTTTCAATACAAAAAATTACCGAACATATGTGAAAACCGAATATTTGTTCGTTGTTTTCACGATTTACAGGTTCGTTTGTTCTTCAATGTTTTGGTCTAAATTATAAAGCATCACCAACAGGTCTTTCTCTATTAATCGACTAATACAGCAGACGGCTCATATTTCTACGTAGCATTTCATTCAGACCAATAGTGGGAGTGTAGATCACGCAGTTTCGTTCGTTGCGTACTTCACTTGAAATTGGTAATTTTTAATATTGACTACTTCACTTAGCTTGGCGGATGTAGAACATTGCTTAATATTCTTTTAATTTTCACACCAGACATGCTTGGTTGACACGTCAACAAAGTAAAGTTCAAGGGTCAATGCGTTATTTCGTGATAACTACAACGCCTTCCCGGAAGTCAACATTGATGAAAAATGAAAAAGTCGGAAAAGCATTTACGCTAATTTCTATCAAATGCTATGTTTATGCATCATCATCGACGCAACAAAGGTGATATAGTTTCATTAAGATTCGGGTTCTAACCTTTAGAAGGTAAGTCAGACTCCCAAACGTCAGCTAACTCTTCTATTTAGCATGTTAGCGGCGCACTCAGGCCTTGCAAAAAGCTTTAAGGTTATTGTGGAAGAGTGCAAGGGTGGTGCTCAGTGTTCTAGACCTAGAATATACATCCCATCCAAAATCGTGGTATTGAAAACATATTTTTAAAATTGTAAGTATTCGTCAATGGTATATCAGAATTTTGAGCACTACATTTGAACTGTTCCATCAATAATGAAAGTAATATGAACCTTCAATATTTAGCAGGGGTGATAGCATAGGCTAACATTCCTTTAAATAGACTTTTCCATGTTATAATCCATTGGCTCATCAGATAGATGAGAATCAAGAACTATCATAGTAAAGACTTTTTGTAGAGATCATGAAGCATGA